TTATAACTTTGTATTTAGCAATTTTTCATGAACCCATTGGAGAGAGAGGAGTTTATTAAAAACAAATCAGTGTAGCCAGCACACAAGTAAAACCTCATTCCCTCCATAGGTATTATTATGTTTGTGTATTTATTGTGCATGCATGCCCATATACCATGCCATGCATGTGATGGTCACAGGACAACTTCCAGATGTCCACTCTCACCTTCCACCTGTGTGTTCCGCTCAAACTCAGGCTGTCGGGGTTAGCAGAAAGTGCCTGTATCTGCTAAGCCATCTTGTCAGCCTCCATAGCTCTACACTGAAGGATAGGAACTCCCAAGTACCCAGGTACCTTCTGCTTGGCAGAGGACAAATGAACAGAAGACAGATGAAACAAACAGACAGCTTGGTTGGGAGGCCAGGCCCAGAGATGTGTCCATGGTGATTTGCAGTAGGGGGGTCGGGACTATCCAACAGGGTCTGAGAAGAGGTGGGGATTCAGTTCAGGGCCTGGGCACAGGATGAGATTGCTCAGCAATGTGGCAGCGATGTGGTTTCCCTTCTACAGATGAAAATGAATGTGAGCAGAACAATGGCGGCTGCAGTGAGATCTGCGTAAACCTCAAAAACTCACACCGCTGCGTGTGTGGGGTCGGCCGTGTGCTGAGGAGTGACGGGAAAACTTGTGAAGGTGAGACTGGGTAGGGAGGCAGGGCAAACATCCAAAGGGAGCCACTGGCTTGCCCTTTGACATTTGGGAAGCTGCCCTGGCGGCAGAAGCAAATAGCAGTTTGTCAGCATGAGAAAGTGACTGGAAGGGCTCGTGGGCTCAAGGGTGCTTAAGATGTGGACAGAATTGATTTTTAAGATGTGGACGGTATTGATTTTGTCTTCAAGATGGAAGAGGAGGGGGTTTGCAAGAAGTAGAACACTGTGGGGAAGCTAAGGTGGAGTAATACCCATTTTTCTCAAACTTAAATGTGCCCACAAATCCCCTAGGATCTTGTTAAGGTGCAGATTCGGACCGAGTGGTCTGGGGTCAAGCTGAGGTGACTATGTTTCTAGATAATGACTAGGTGCCCACGGCTTCTGGCAAGCAGCTCAGAGTGGCAGGCAGCATGCTCTACAGCCATTTATCAACTGCTCTTGGCCTGAGACTGACCCCCCAGCCCTCACCAGGCCTCTTGTGGGTGGGGAAGTCTACTTTACGGGCTGGGGTGGGGCCTCAGAACTTACAATTTTAACAAATTCCATGGACGATTCTTTGTCTTAGAAATTTGAGAAACTGCTTTACACTGAGTTATGTTTTCCTTTGTGGTGGGGAAAGCTAGTGTATTTTTTGAGACAAAATTATCTACTTAAAGATTTTAGGCTTGGGAATCAGTCTACCTCAAGACCCAGCAATACCACTTTTGGCACATACCCAAAGGATGCACACTCACACCACAAGGACACTTACTCAACTATGTTCATAGCAGTACTATTCGTAATAGCCAGAACCTGGAATCAACCTAGATACCCCCTCAACCGAAGAATGGATTAGGAAAATGTGGTGTTTACGCAATGGAGTATTACTCAGCAGGAAAAAAACAATGACTTCTTGAAATTTGCAGGCAAATGGACAGAACTAGAAAAAGAAAAAAAAATCCTGAGTGAGGTAACCCAGACACAGAAAGACAATATAATATGTACTTACTCATAAGTGGATATTAGGCATAAAGCAAAGGACAACCAGACTACAGGCCACAAGCCCAGAGAACCTAGGTAACAAAGAGGACCTACATTGGTCTGCCCTGGGGAGAGGAAAAAGACAAGATCTCCTGGGTAAATTGGGAGTGTGGGGGGCAGAAGGGTGGGAAGGGATAGGTGAGGAGGTAAAATGGCAAAAAGCAGAAGAAGGAGGAGAAGGAGGAGGAGGAGGAGGAGGAGAGAGAGAGAGAGAGAGAGAGAGAGAGAGAGAGAGAGAGAGAAACATTTTTCAAGAAAAAATATTTTATGTAAATGAGTATGTGCTGGTGTCCACAGGGGACAGAAGAGGGTGTTGGATCTCCTGAAAAGAAGAGGCTGTTTGATCTCCTGAAACTGGAGTTACAGACAGTTGTGAGCTGCCATGTATTTGCTGGGAATTGAACTCAGGTCCTCTGGAAGAACAGCCAGTGCTCTTAACCACTGAGCCATCTCTCCAGCCCCCCATTGTCTATTTTTAAATAACAGAGATGCTGTGTGTACATGACCTAGTAACTTAAAAACTTACTGACATATTTCAAGGAATTAAAACGGTCTATTATTACTCTCTTACTTTTTAATTGATATAACATTGTGCATAGTTACGGGATACCAAGTGTGATCCAGTTATCTGCTACTGCATTGTGGGACTCAGGTCATGTGTTTTTTACAGCTAAAGTGACATCATATCTGCTTTCACAAATTTGAGTCCCCCTAATATTCTATGCAGAGTATGACATGGGGAGGTAAATGACATAGTTGTTATTATTCAGAGAGGACATATGATTTGTCCTTCAGGAGAACTGAACTTGTGTATTAATAGACCTGTAATCTACATATTAAAACTCAGTGTATTATCATCACATTAAAAATAATAAAATATCATCCCAAAAGGAAAAATTATGAGTAGTCCCCAACAAAGTTTGCATTATTAATGCAGAGAACAGTCACTAGCACATTAAATTGCTGTCCTTATAACAAGGCTAAATTATGTTAAATTTTACTGAATAAGGATAATATATATAATCTTCCCTAAACCTTAATAATTTTGTATAATAATTTTTGCATATTTGAATAGTAGTAAAATATTCCATGAAGAACATTTGTAATTATTCATGAACACTTTATTGAGACTATTATGGTTAAAACTCATATAATCTTAAAACCTAATAACCATAGCTGAAAAATATTTAGCAAATGATAAAAATTTTGTGTGTCTATATGAGCAATACTTTAGGAATACTGCTTCTATTTATAACATTTGACTTTTATTGAAAGGCTAGATGTATTTGTTTCTTTAGTGCAGCTATTAAATGATTATAGCGTTTTAAAAATTAACTATACTTTTAAATTTTTAAGTAAATTTTAATAGTTTATGATATAAGTAGGAAAATACAGAAGACTAAACAGGGAGAATGTCCATGGTCCTCCATCTCTGTTGCTAGGTGTTTCCACTCTGAACACTTGTTCCATCATCCCAAGGGCTAAAATCATGTAGGGCAATTTGGATTTTTCAGTCTATCTTTCCTTTTGCATTTTTTACATCTGAAAATGCCCAGTGTGATCATTTACTTATCCCTTCATCTTACAAATTTTGAAATTGCAACTTAGAGAAATAAAATTACTTTGGAAAGGTCATTTTGCAGATTGAGGCAGCAGGGTGCTGACTAAGTGTGATGGGCACTTGGGGAAGATCCCCAGCATTGAGCAGGCGTCTTCTTTTAGAAAGAAAACATGTATTATTTAAAAGAGGCCTGGAGTCTCTTTCACTAAGTACCCTCAGCTGACCTGAAACTTGATATGTAGACCAACCTGCCTCTGCCTCCAAAATGCTGGGATTACAGGCATGCACCACCACTTCCTAGCATAGTATATTTTCTTCCGCCTTGTTATCTAGCATCTCAACTATTTCAAAAACCCATGAACTGCATGTATCCTTTAAAAACATGCATTTCTGGGGCTGGCAAGATGTCTCAGCAGGTAAGGTTGCTTGACACCAAACCTGATGACCCAAGTTTGAACCCACATGGTAGAGGGAGAGAACCAACTCCCACAAGTTGTCCTCTGATCTCCATACGCTGTGGCTTTGCTAGACACACATGTGCACATGCACACACACTATATAAATAGTTTAAATGTTATAGATGGTCTTCTAAACAGGTAACAAATATTAATTTGTTGTGACTTTAATCTCTTACATTTCCCAACCACTGATTTATATATGCCTAGTTAACTTACCGATTTCTCCACTAACCTTTTTTTTCTTTTTCTTTTTGGCTTTTTGAGATGGGATTTCTCTATGTAGCCCTGGCTGTCCTGGAACCCACTCTGTAGACCAGGCTGGTCTCCAACTCACAGAGATCTACCTGCCTCTGCCTCCTGAGTGCTTGGATTAAAGGCATGTGATACCGCCGCCGCCACCGGGCCTCTTTTAAACTTTTTTTTTCACTAACCTATTTTTGCTATCACCCTTAGGAGTCAACTTCCATCTCTCTCTGAGCATTTTAGAGGATCTGAAACATCTTCTTCCATCATCTTAACTTAAAACAGGACTCAGCAAACCTTTTTCATAATGTTCTGATGATAAATACTTTTATGTTTCATAGACCATCCAAAATCAACCAAAACTACCCAGGTCTGCCCTTGTAGTGAGAAAACAACCATAGACAATAGTTGACAGTCATTCCTGTGTGTGCTAATAAAACTTCATTTAAAACACTATGTAATGGGTTGGAATTTGACAGCCCTCAACCTAAAAGATAATGTTCAGATCCAAAACAAGACACAAAAATCATGATGATAAAGATTATTGACATGGACATACTGGGACAGGGGTGGAACCTGGAGCCTTGGGAATGGTAGGCAAACACCCTATGACTGAGCTATGTCTCCAGCCCCAGGTCTATCCACGACTTTCATATTCAGCACTCTTATTCCTAGGGAGTCTAAGAGAGGGGCCAATGATCCAATCAGACTGCAGCAACTCTGGCCCACCCAGCTGGTCCAGATGAACTTTTACTCAGACTCTTTTTATCCATCAATAAGTCTATAAAAATTTAACTTATATGAATATATTAAATGTTATAACAGTTAAGAAATGTTTTGGTGGTCTCATAAATATTCATGAGCTCACTCTAATCATGAGAAAAACAATAGAAAAACATGGGAACAATTGAAAGACACTCCACTGAATGCCTGGAGCGCCTCGGTAAGTGTTACTGCGAATAGAGGATTGCTCTTGGCAGTCATGGCCTTTAATGGATGTTAATAGGTTAGCCTCATGTTTTACTTACCTCATTAGACCTCCACGATTCTGCCATGGACCAAGAATAATCTCTGGTGATTAATGCTGTGATTCCTGCAGAAGAGGGTCACATTTAGGTAACTCTTATTCTTGCTCTACAGACATCGAAGGATGCCACAATAACAATGGTGGCTGCAGCCATTCTTGTGTCGGGTCTGAGAGGGGCTATCAGTGCGAGTGTCCCAGGGGCTTGGTGCTGTCTGACGATAATCACACTTGCCAAGGTAGGGCAAAGTTTGACTCGGATTCACACACCCTACCCCCTCCACCTTTGCCCTCCCTCCTCCAGGACTCTCAGATTCTTATCTTTCAGAGCACTGACTCTGAGCACCATGCGTTCTCTGAGTCATCCTTCTGGAATCATTCAACAGACAACACCCCTGCAGGGCGTGATGCTCACAGCTGTAATCTCAGCACTTGGGAGGTGGAGGCCAGAGCCCTGGCTGAGTGCAAGGCCAACCTGAGACATTGTCTCAGAAACAGAGTGAAAGAAGGTCTTTTTTTGTTTTTTAAATCAAGAAAAGCTGAATTTCCTTTGCTGGTTGCCTCTGAGTTGTTCCCTGATTTCTATAGCCAACAACTACGGCTCAATTTGGAAGTATTGACACTGTCCTTGTTGAACAGTTCCATGGACCCAAAGTAGACTGAATGAGGATGAATGATGGATTCTTCCCCATCAACAGTGCTCTGAGAACTAGGTCTTGGTGTCTGGGATAATGATTCCATCACCCTGCAAACAGCAACCAAGTGCCAGTTTCTGATTTCTTCAAGTATCTCACTGCTGAGATGCGTGTTCACAGGCAGGGCTCTGGCGGTACCTAGAATCCTTCAGGGTGTTTGCAGGGTCAGAGGAAATGAACGCAGTACTGGCGCAGAAAAGCAAGCTCTTTTTAATATTAAGTTAAAGTGAAATTTATAGTCAGAGTTTACAGTTTACTGAGTAGCTCAAGGACAATTTGGAAGGCTTCCAGAGTGTGGGAACCGTGTTTATTACCTGTTTAATGGGGCAGTAACTAATGGTCAAAACACAGCAGTCCTGTTGTGCCATTTAAAATGTCAGCAGTGTCTTTTCCTGTGTTGCCAGTCAACTGTGCTGGCACTAAAGTTTCTTCTTGGGGTGTCTCACTCCATGGAATCATGCCAGGCACACTTTGGACAGGCGTTTGTTGAGCTGAAGCTTAATCTCCTGTTCAAAGGAGTATGGGAGTTGAGGAGCATCCTTGACCACAGTCTTGGGAGTTAGGGATCCTGGTTGTATTCATCAACTTACTTCAAGCCTGGAGGAAAGAACAAAAAGCACAGGCTGCAGAGAGGAGAAAGTATTCCCCTAGAAGACTTTCTTAGCTTTTTCCCCAAGCCAGGTTTCCTGTCCTAACAGAATCCCCTTTCACACAGTCCCCGTGTTGTGCAAGTCCAGCGCCATTGAAGTGAGTGTCCCCAGGGAGCTGGTTGGTGGCCTGGAGCTCTTCTTGACCAACAACTCCTGCCGAGGAGTGTCCAATGGCACCCATGTCAACATCGTCTTCTCCCTCAAGACCTGCGGCACCGTGGTTGACGTAGGTTCTCTTGTGGACACTTAGGGAAATGACCAAAGTTCCCTACTTGGGAAGGCAGCTGACAAAGGGTGTGGCTTGTGTCAATTATGAGATAGGCTCACACACACACACACACACACACACACAAAAAAAAAAAAAAAAAAAACCTGAGCTTAAAACATCCTCTGCCCCACACCATGGTCCTGGAACTGTGAGGAATGGAATGAGTACTCACCATCCCTGTTCACACAGCCCTGAGCAACCTGTATGTACTGTGTTTCCCTACATCAACCCCAGTGGTACCCAGAGGCAGGATATACCCTCTGTAGTCAGTTATTTGGAAACTAAGGATGATAAAGACTGACAGTTCATTTGTGACAAGTGAATGGGTTCAGGCATTGATCCAGGCTGAGCTTAAAAGGTTTATGTTTTTCTTTTCCAAAACATGCTCACACCCTCCATGCTGGAAACCCAGAGGGGGATATGGAATAAGATTCCTGCCTGCTGTATGGAAACACACAGCAGTTCTGAGATGACAACACACAAAATGTAAATAAGGGCTGGGCTGTCTGACACGTGATAGGGCCTCTAGGAGTCCATGAAAAGGACATCCAGTTTAGATGTGGGTTTCTCACACAGGACACAGGACACAGGACACAGGACACAGGACACAGTAGCCCATGCAAGCAGAGGCAAAGGGCCTTTTTGACTGGGCTCTGCTGGAGCAGACTCTTGGGGGATTCTTCAGGTCTGCACTAAGGTGAATGGGGAGTTCAGCCTGCCCTGCAAGGAATCCTCACCTGGAAATGACTCTGGAAAGGATATGGGATAAAGATTGTTGCCAAAGGCCTGGCTTGTGTGCTAGGGAGAGACAGCAGGTTTGAGTCCACAAAAGTGGGATTAACCTGGGAGCTGTGATCCCACAGTGTGAAGATGGATGCTGTACAGACCACCGATACGGGTCAGTACAGAGGCCCTGGTGATCATCGTTGTCCTGAGGAAGTGAGTCAGAGGGCTAATTACTGTGCACGAGAGTCAAGGTACCTACAGAGGAACAGGGGTTCCCCATTTAGGCAAGCTGTGTGGATTATTTTTATGGATACCCTGGAGGAATAGTCCCATAACTGGCTGGTAGAGTAGAAGCTGGCTAGGGTAAATAGCTGAAAACCCTTGGCGCCTATGCAGATGCAGATTCGGGATAAATCCAGGATCACTTAGAATCAGCAGCATCCCAAGCCTGGAATTCCTGCTGAGAGAGCTGTGGTGCTGTCCTCTTCTGGATGCTGGAGCTTGGGATTTTCTGATTATCTCCCTAGATAAGGTTTAATGTCTATGCACCAGAAGGATGTCTGGGCCAACCAAGAAGTAGCCAGCATGCTGGCTCAGTCTGCCTGTCTTACTAACCAGCAAAAAGAGAAAGGGCTTAGGCAGATTCACTTGAGGCCAGTTCAGACCAGTCTGGGTAACATAAACAGTTTCCATCTCAAAACCCAAAGCCCCTCTGATGTAGGGAACAAAATCTGTGAAATTTGACTTATCAGGTGTTTGGAGGATATTAACGTAAGAAGAGAGGTAACTAAAAATAAATCTCACAATCTCGCTTCATCCCCGACTGGCACAGGTGGTGAATGACAAAATCGTGGCCAGCAACCTCGTGACGGGTCTGCCCAAACAGACTCCTGGGAGCAGCGGGGACATCATCATTCGGACCAGCGAACTGCTGATCCCAGTGACCTGTGAGTTCCCTCGACTGTACACCATCTCTGAAGGGTACGTGCCCAACCTGCGCAATGCCCCTCTGGAAATCAGGAGTCGAAACCACGGCATCTTCCCCTTCACGCTGGAGATCTTCAAGGACCACGAGTTCGAGGAGCCGTACCGGGAGAATCTGCCTACACTCAAGCTTCGTGACTCGCTCTACTTTGGCATTGAGCCCCTGGTGCACGTGAGTGGCCTGGAGAGCCTGGTGGAGAGCTGCTTTGCCACGCCCACTGCCAAAATGGATGAGATACTCAAGTACTACCTGATCCAGGACGGGTGAGCACAGCTAGCACACTGCCACCCAGTGTGTGTGTGTGTGTGTGTGTGTGTGTGTGTTTTGTGTGTGTGTATATTACATATTAGATTTTCAATTATAATTTATTATATAATTTATAATTAAACAATATTTGACATTAATACATAATAAAATGATGTAATTGTAGTTATATAATTTTTAAAAAGCAAATTTGAGGTACCATTGAATTTGATCATAAGACACAGTGAGTAATTTTATACTTGAAATGCCCATGGAATGCCTAGGGAAGTTCAGTGGGCCATCAGAAATGTGTGTCAGTCTCCAGAACAAGGCCAGAACTACAGGCAAAGGACAGAGACTTACCTACGTGTGACTAGGATCCATTAGCTTTCTCAGAGGGGCCAGAAGTCAGTGAGGAGGAGGGCTGTGGGCAGACACTGAAACAGCTAGTGTGGACTCTGCTTTCAAGAACTTTGACAGCGGGGGCTGGGAAAATGGCTCAGTGCAGGGAAGTGCCTGGGACAAGAGTGAGGACATAACTCAGGAGCCCACTGCACCTGGGTTAGACAGTCTGCCTGATCTATGAGCTCAGGTTCAGTGAGAGACCCTGCCTCAAAAACCGAAGGAAGAGAATGACTAAGAAAGACACCTGACATTGACCCTCTCACCTCCACACACGCACATGGACATGCGCTCACACCCATATGAACATGAACGTACATCTCACACATACACTTATACACAAAGATCACAATAAGAAATGAAGCTGGGAGTGTTGCAAAGAGAAGAAATTCTTGATTCTAGAGAATAAATATCCAGATTTCTGTGGCGTCGCTGAAAGGTCCTGGGCTGGGGTTTGTAGGTATGTGATGGTGTCAATGGAAACCTAACTGGTCCCCAAATTCATATCAAAGAGTTCCTTCTTCCTTGGACTAACATAGCCTCTGGAACACATCTCCGGTGGTCAGGAACTGCAGCCGCCTAGGTGGGGGAAGGGTCTAGAGTATGTCACACACATTCCTCAGGTTCTTCGCTTCAGGTATTGGCCCGGAGCCCTGGCAAGTGTTTAGTTTGCTTCAGCTTCTTGTTTTTCTCCCACAACAGCTCCCTTCTCATGCTGCTCTCAGTACTTAAACGGTGGTTTTTGAATCCTAGATGCACTGAGGTCAGCTTAGAAGCCTTTATTTTATTTTTTTTCATTTACTGGTGATGAGTCACCTGCTGTCTCAATGCTGGGAAAATCTGCTTATATATTTGTTATTCGGAGTCTGCATGAAGAACTGTTACCTTCTGTTAGACAGTTCAAATAAGCTGCCCTGTTTCTCCCTTGATCCTTAGTACACACAAAAGAGAAAAATAAGTATCTCTCTCTGTGTGTATGCATTTGTGTACATGCACACAGGCACTGAGATGCCAAATGAGTTAGAATGGGACGAATCGCACAAAGATAGTCTTGGCTTTTCAGGAGAAAATATATCTAAAACCACAGCCTTAGCATGTCCGTTCACGTGACCTCTTTTCCAGTTTACACTGACAGGAACCTCATAGCAATGTGTCACACTGACCTAAAATAAAGACCACAGACTCTGAAATGGCAGCTTGCTGTTACTTTTGGGAAAGGAGAACTGAAACCATCTGAGGCCAGTTGTCACCTGAGAAGCTTAGACGTGTGTGCACAGATGGCTCATTGCCCTTTGTACCCCCTCCAGGGGCTTGTGTCCCTTATAGGAAATCCGTGTTAAGTTAAAGAAGAAGCTTCTCACACTAGAAACTATGTTAACCCAGATTCCAGCAATATGTCAATGGAAAGACTACCTTACTAGCCAAAGGTCTCTCCAATACACATTTTGGTGCTTCTAATGGATAAAGCCCTTAATGGAGGAGGAAGTGTTTTTATACTCTCTGAGGCTCCATGAATGAAGGATGGGAAGGCATGGCACTTAGCCCTACTTAATGAGGTCTGAAGATGTCTTTGCCAGGAGGGGTTGCCATTTACCCTTTTTTCTTACAAAGCTGCTCAGCATGCTCCACCCACTTTACCTCCCTTGGGCCAAATGCCTTAGCTGGGGTGGTTTTCTTCCTCTGTGGAGGTGATCAAGTCTGATGCACTATTCATCCTGCTTCCAGCTGTGTTTCCGATGACTCCGTGAAGCAGTACTCATCACGGGACCACCTAGCAAAGCACTTCCAGGTCCCTGTCTTCAAGTTTGTGGGCAAAGATCACAAGGTAAGCTGTCACCTTTGTCTCACAGCCCCATGCCTGAGCCTTCTTCCTTCTCATTGTCCTGACATGTTGACATTCTAAGAGCCTGTGGTTAGCTTCTGCATGACCTCTGGGAAAATACCTGGCTATCAAGAAAACAGTTGCCTGACCCACCCGACTCCCGCATAAAATGACTGTGCACAGAGAATATTACAAGACCGAAATTTGAAATCTTTGTGGGCAGATATGTGTGAAAAGCCAGTGTTACTGTCGGTTCAACAAAGGATTTAGACAGGAATTTCACAGAACACCAGCCATGGACTGGGAATAGAATAGAATTCACAATGCTAATCACAGGACACAACTTTGTAATAGGAAATATTCCACATGGAATGTATGGGAAACGACAAATTACAAAGCTTCCAAAGCCATAGGAAGTGAACAGCAACAGTGTAAATTGAGTTTGTTTTTTTTTTTTAAGTAAGTTATCTGCTAGTATGCCATAATCATTAACTCAGTGTATGACTTTGTCTAAATACATTTTTGGCATTTTCACCAAAACAAAACAATTTTCTGGATATATTTATAGAACATGATCCTAAGACAGGGTGGGGGGGTCCCCAAATAAACATAACCAAGGGACAACACTGTATCAACTTAGTGCAACATTAAGCAGTTTTTAAAGTTACGAACATCAGAAAAGCAGGTGTGAAGAAAGTGTCATAACTTTCTTCACATAACCCATGTGTATACGTGGGTCACGATGGCAAGAGGCTTTCCCAAAAGGCTGGGGATGACAAGACCAAGCTTTTGCTGCTCTTGCCAGTGTTGAAACACAACCCAAATGAAGCTCAACGGAGCAGCATTCTTTTCCACTTAGTGTCCTTTCAAGCCATTTTGTTGTTCCAGAACTCCAGCTCAAAAGCAGAACCTCCCTAGGCAGATCCTCCTGGGAAGGACCTACTCCTTTGTAACAGAAGTACTTGGTCCCGGTGTTTCTCTGGCCCAGGAACTGACATGCTAATGTCAGAAGATGGGGCTTCCCTAAGGTCTCCTCAGTGTCCAAAGTTCTGGATCAAGGTTTCAAGGTCACCCACATCACTCCCTTCCAACTTAGCCACATTTCTAAATGTGTGGACTGGGCAATTTCCTTATCCTTGCTTTCCTGGCCATAAATACAAGATTGTCACTGCCCCCTCAAGTTGCTGCTGTTGTGGCTGAGATGGTGCTTGGGGAACATGTGGCACTGTGTGCGGCTGTCAGCAATGCCTGAAGTGACAGCTGGTACTACGGCTTCACTGTCATTACTGTCCTTCCAGGAGGTATTTCTTCACTGCCGTGTCCTTGTTTGTGGGGTTCTGGATGAGCGTTCCCGCTGTGCCCAGGGGTGCCACCGGCGAGTGCGTCGTGAGGTGGGGGATGATGAGGACTCTGCTGGGCTGCAGGACCAGACACTGACAGGAGGCCCCATCACCATTGACTGGGAGGACTAGTGCCCGCTCCCAGTCACCCTCCTCCCTGGAACGTCTTCCTATGTCCTCTGAGAACACCAGAGAATCTCCCAGAACACCGGACTTCTTCAAATCACATACTGTGAATTTAGACAACCCCTGCCACTACATGAAAGGATTGACTAGCCGGTTTCATCCCTGGGTTGGTACAAATCACACCACAGCTGACCCATTTGGCCTTGGTGGGCTTCAGTTTCTGGATTTTAAGAACTGTGTTGTCCTCATGGAAGGACATCTCCCTCATTTCCTCTGTTTCTTTCTTACAGTGAAATACCTCATTTATGGTATAATGGGGCCACTAAAATGAGGTGCTGGGAATAACATTTTAATTTAAAAATATAAAAAATTAATTACTAAAACTATAACCCATGATCCCCAAAATATATAATTATGTCCTGAAATTCCAAACCCAATCCAGAATCTTTATAGGATATTTGAAAGTTTATCAATAAAATAATGTATAAGAGAAAATACAATAGGTTGAATGTTGCATAGTAATTTTCAATGTTTTCATATTGCCTTAGGTAAAATGTTTTCACCTAAAAATAAATTCATAAGGTACTTAAGAGCATTGGCTGCTCTTGCAGAGAAACTGGGTTCAATTCCTAGCACCCACCTGGTGGCTTACAACTGTCTGTAACTCTAGTTCCAGGGGATCTGATGGCCTCCTCTGACCTCCTCAGACACCAGGGATGCATGTGTTAAATAGACATACATGCAAGTAAAACACCCATGCATATAAAATAATTAAAAAGATTATCAGCATACATAAGTAAGTAGTTCAATGGCTGAACTTAACTATAAGGAAAACTAAATGTTGGTCCTGTATGCCCTGAGAATTGTTATTCTGTGCCTTCGGTTAGGTAAGATAATAGGAAAAGGTATAAAATTATACCACACTCTGACTTTGCAGGTGCTCAATAATTTTTATTGAAATAAATAATCATAAACTACAAAGATAAATGTTATCTGCGGTTGTATTCAGCTCCTTGATATTCCAGTTAACTCTTGTCTTTACATATGATCAGCAAAGGTTTCTTTTTCTTCCTCAAACTGGTTGCAATGAACAATTCCATCTTTTTCTCTTTAATTACCACGTGGATGATTGGCAATTCAGTTCAACTTATGAAACTTGGAAAGGGAAGAGAAGGAGTGGGGATTTGGAGTCAGAGATCAGAAATGCTTCTCTATAGATGGCCAAAGGTGATTATTTTAGACTTTGGGGCCTTTTGGTCTTTGTCATAACCTCTCTCTCTCTCTCTCTCTCTCTCTCTCTCTCTCTCTCTCTCTCTGATGTTATAAGGTGACAGCAGCTTTAAACAAATAGAAACAAACACAAAAGTGATGGATCTGTATTCTGAATGGTCATACAAAACAGTGGGCCTTGAACTCAGGCTCCCCTGTGTGACTTTGTTGGCTAATTATGATCCAGATGGGTGGCCTTCTCAGGGCAACAGAACACCTGCAGAGTGTCATAAATGGCCTAGGAACAGCCCACTGTGTCTTGGCTGGCTCCTTTTAAAGTGCCACAAGAACTCCTAATCCACAGTCAAGCCACAATTTAGGGAATGGCCTGTTATTCCCTGTCAGTGGCAAGCATGTCTTCTACCCCTAACCAGACACATCCCAGATCTTCACATGGCTTTGGGAGTCAAATGACAGCTTGGAGTCTGGGCATACTAACCAAGGCAGGCCACTGGAGGGAGAAATGGAACCTTGGGCCCCAATTCTATCCTGCCTTCATCAGCTAAACCTCCATTCTTCTGCCTGTTTGTCTCTTGAGCACCCATGACAATCCCCATTGGTAGAACTTACCAGGCGACATCCTGTTCTCCTTAAGTGAAATAGAACTATCGGTGAGAATGGAATTCATTCATCTCTCTTCAAGTTTTCTAGAAAGTGCACTTTATTAAATGTGAGGTGCTAACTGGCAAGTGAAACATAAGCCAGAGGAAAGTCATTGTCTCACAAATATTTGGGCTCCCCCAGATTTCACTTGTGACTATCATGTTCCGATCTAGGGATGGTGGGATCTGCTTGCTGTTATCTTTCACCTAAGAACTGAATTTCCAGGCACACATGTCTTGGCTGGGAGACCAGTGTTAGAGTAGACAGTCTTCAGTCTCTGTGTATCTTTTTGTTAACTTTCCTCAAAAGACAAGACCTGCCACCTCTCTTCTCCAGCTCATAGTCTCCAAAGGGTTGGAAGAAAGGACGGTACTTCTATTACACCGCCATCTCTGAAACGAGCCATGCGGTGTCACTCAAAACCTGGAAGAATCTCTTCTTCACAACTCTTCCTTCTCCTCCTCTGCACAGATGCAAGCTGCCCGCTGACTGTTCATAAAGGGCCGGCAACCCAAGGTCCACACGGTGTTGAACACAGTGTCAGCCAGAGAATCACAGGCTGCTTGAAAAAGAGGAATAAAGACAGAAAGGTCAGCAGAGACCACCCTATTGCATTCGAGGCAGTGTATTTCCAGGGCAGTCCCCAGAGCATGGCAGAGACAGAGTGTAGAATTGAGAGGACCAATGTATCTTTAAGAGAAGCGCTTTCAGAAAAGCTCCTCTTTAGTACAGTAAGGCAGATACACTTGCTGGTGCCTCATATTTGTGGTGCCCCTGGGGAAAGTCATTAGAAATCCCACACCATCGTGATTTTAGAATACCCACTCGGAAAGTACATCATCCCCCAACTCGAGGATGTCATAGTTTGGACCAAGAGGTGGAGCAAGCAGACAAGACAGCAGCTAATTATATATAGTACACCATGAAGACAGCAATCACAAGGTGGCTGGGAACTCTAGGAAAGGTTCCTGTCCCTTGGGAAAAGGGGCTCTGAGGGAAGACATCTAGTATAAGGGGTACCATAGACATGCCAGAAAATTTAGACAACTTAGGGGAAATAGAAATTCCATGCTGAACTGACTCAATGAAATAGAAAATGAAAATAGATTATTAGTCCCCCAAAAATACATCTCTCAAGGAAATCTACTTCCATGTTGCTTCAAGGAAATTTTTGTTAGATATTTTAAAAAAACTAATAGCAATCCCTTCTAGATATTTCCATAAATTAGGATTATGTCTTTCATTTTATGAGGTCAGTATTATGTTGATAACAAAAATCAGACAGAAAAACCACAGGAATAACAAACCACAGATAAGCATCTCTCATAACTAAATGCAACATCTTCAACAGATACCAGTCAACAAGACTCAGAAACACATAAGATGACTGACATCATGCCCACATGGGGCTTGTCCAAAGAATGCAAGCTATTTTAACACACTAAAATTAGTATAGCATACCACCTACCAACAGACTAAAAGCCACACACACAGAAAGACTCCAACACCTTGATAGAAACAACTCAACAACCCAGGAAGAGGACTTCTACACCTGACAGGGGTCACCTAGGCCAGTCTCATGCTCAGGGATTTCTTTGGGAGATGATGACTATTGGGTTGACTGTGTGACTCTGTAGACATATTCAGCTGATATTTAAATGAGTTAAATCATATGTAAATCACTGTCTTAGTACAACCACCAAATGCTCAGAGTGTTTCATGCAAAAGGAACTCAAAGGTGGAAAGTCTGGGCCTTCGACCCAGGTAGATTTCAGTACAGGGGGCCCAAAGGGAGATCTGGACATCTGCAATGATACTGAGGAGGCAGCCTAGGGCTAACCTAGAAGAGCCATGCAAGCCCAACTCCAGGGCTTTTAGTTAGCTATAGGGAAGAAAAAAGTGGCTCCAACTGTAGGCAGAGGCTACCAGAGGTAGGTGATATTAAAATGTAGCTGGTCCCAGCGGGTGGCCCTCACTTGGATGGAACACAAAAACAGAATTTACAGCAATCTGGCCAGTGGGAGAGTGGTAAGATACTTAGGAAGGAAAAATCAATAGGACATTGGCCTAGCGCAGTCACCTGACCTGAGCCCACAACAGCAATGGTTCTTTCTTACTCTTTGTGGACACAGGATGGAGTTCTCCCTTGTACAAGTTCATTACTCATATTCTCAAGCCCTCGAACTCACATTGAAACTCTTTTCTAGACACTGTTCTATGAACCACACCCAAGATGGTTCCCACAGATGGTACCTCTGTGGCTCAGAGGAGCTTGGTTTCCAACCTTGCCCATCTGGAAGCTTTGAACATTAACATCAGGTTACCATGCTCTGGCTTCAGAAGTGGAGAGATTAAAACCTTTTGGATGGTAAATTAGGAAAAAGAAATTACAGAGTCAGAGCTGGAAGCTCAGTAGTTAGGCAGTGTTTAAGAATAATTGTCCGGAAGCACACAGAAAGCTGTGCACACACAAAAGAGGATTTTTGAAGTTCCAGACTAAGAGCAAACTATGAAAAGGGGGCTCTAGCCAAGCCACGTGGTCCTATACAGAGGGACCACTGAATGGAAAGTTATTTAACAGAGGCATGGAAAGCTTTTTCTGCAGCCTTAAAGGAAGGGTTTTCATTCTGTGGAAGCATGGCTGAGAACTTTTCCAGCAGGAAGGGTTCCAGCAGCCCTTGGACAGCAAGAACTTTTGTGAAAGAGCACTGAGTCTCTCCCTCTGCCTTTCCTGAATACTCCGACCATCTCTCCCAGTAAAGGGGGCCTTGGGTCACTGTGTTAAGATAGCAACAAAACTCCTTGTCACCAGGAAGTGCCCTTAAGAGACCTACCTTCCACGTTGGAGACAAAGCCAAGGCTCCGCTTGAGATCAGAGCAGATGGAGTGAAGACACCATCGGAATTTTGCATCGCAGCGGTATTTGTTGGCACCACAGGTGTCATAGCAGACATCCAGCTGGTTACAACACTTGGTCATTGCTGGAATGCCCAAGTCCATCTGTAAAAGTGAAGCAGGAGAGTGCCACGTTTAGACCAAGGACCTGAGGCAACCCTGTCCACCTCACTAGGAACTGGTCAATTCTCAAGTGTGTGCCACGTATTAGATCTGTTCAGAAACACCAAGGACTCAGAGGAATAAGCTCCAAGTCGTAGGGTGCTGAATTTGAATGTTATTTGCTTCCTGTGTGATTCTAGCCTATTTTTTCCCTCTTTCCTTTTGTGAGAGTAGTTATTTTCAAATCCACAGCCAGATGTGGCAGTGCAAGCAGAAGCCAGAGGGGACACAGACCAGTACTGTAAGTCTTGATAGGCCGTCTGGTGCCTGAAGCAAAGGATTTTATCTGGCCACACTATGGCAGGGCAACTGCTCATTATTGAAGTGTAAGGACCACCACTCCATTTGCTCAAATGGGAGATTCTTGAACTACTTCTAAATGGTGTGAATCCATTTGTTTTATGAGATGGTTTCACTGTGTAACTCTGGCTGGCCTCAAACTCACAGAGATCCACCTGCATCTGCCTACTGAGTGCTGGGATCAAAGGTGTGCACCACCACTGTACTGCATAAACTGGTTGATTGATTTGATTTGATTGATTTTGGCAGCAGTGGGGACTCAACTCAGGTTTTGCACATGCTAGACAGCTTTCTGCCACTGAGCTAGCCTCACACTCAGTCTCCATGCAGCCCTTTTAGAATGGCTAAACTTACAGCTAAAAATGTGTCAATTCTCTAGTACTGAGATGAGAGGATACTCTTGCTTGCGTTCCTACACTTATTGCTGATTGTGAACAAGCTGGCCCAGGCCGTGCAAGGGACAAGAACAGTATATGCAAAGAGACGCCTTCCTCCAAGACATTGTAGTTTTATATACTTAAGAAAACATGTTCAGCTAATAGCAGTCAAGCTTCTAACAAAACCAGTGTGTGAGTACGTGTTTCTGATGGCTACAGGAAAACTGCTTCGAGGGTGGAGGACATTTCTGTAGTTGGTGTGGAAATACCAACAGGTGAGCAACAGGTCGGTTAGAAGAAGGCTCATGGAACTGCTTAGATGACACCTGCCCATTGAAATTCTTGAATCAGCTAAAAACTGAGGCTTAGTTGTTGATGACTCAATTCAGGGGGCTGAGGATGTAGCTGAGAGGTTAGGAGCATTGACTGTGCTTCCAGAGGATTCAGCAGCCACATGGCACCTCCAGTCCCAGAGGATCTCACGCCCTCTTCTGGCCTCCATAGGCACTGCAGGAATATAGTGCACCAACGTACATGCAGTCAAAAACATCCATACCCATAAAATAAAATTTAAATATATATTTATATATAAACCATATGTATATATTAAAAATATCCATACAAAGAGACTATCCAGGGCCTGAGATGGCTGTCAGTAAGGTACTTGCCACGCAACATGAAGACCTGGGAGTTCAACTCTCAGTGCTCAGATAAAGTTGGATGCTTCTAACCCATCCAGGGAAGGTGGAAACAAGGGGATTGTGGGCCAGGCAGTCCAGCTAAATTGGTAAGATCTAGATTCAGTGAGATACTCTGCTCAAAAAATAAGGAGGATCTGGGGAGATGGCTCAGTCAGTAAGTGCCTGCTGCATAAGCCAGTGAGTTCTGATCCCCAGCACATACTCACAAAAGCCAAGCATGGTAGCATGCCTGTAACCCCAGTGCTGGGGGGAGGCAGAGACAGCTAGTTCCCTGAAGCTGATTGGCCAGCTGGCCTAACCAAGTGATGAGCTCCAGCTTTAGTGAGAGACCCCCATCTCAAAACAAACAAACAAATAAAAATAAGGTAGAGGCAAGGCAAGATGCGTCAATGGGTAAAAGCACCTGGCACCAAGACTGAAGACTTGAGTTCAATCCCCAGGACCTACAGTGGAAGGAGAGAACTCCAGCAAGTTGTCCTCTGACCTCCACAGGCACGCTGTGGCATGCATGTTCCCACACACAAAATAAATAAAGGGTGGAGAGTAACTGACCTCTAACTCACACACACACATATGCATGTACACCGCCATGCACAAGTGCAGGTGCACACGTACACACTCGAGGGCACAGGCACGCGCGCGCGCACACACACACACACACACACGTTAAGGAAAAATAAGTTGGAGAATAATTGAAGAAAACATCAAATGTCAACCTCTGGCTTACACACACACACAGAAAGAGAGAGAGAGAGAGAGAGAGAGAGAGAGAGA